AAAAAAAAAAAAAAAAAAAAAAAGGCTACAATCTCTAACAAACAAACATCCGTCCATCTAAATTTTCGTGTTTATAATATTAGTAAGATTATGAATGTTTTTTGCATAGTCTGTTACAACCTTCTAAAGGCTATTTTAAATGTATACATGTTCAATGTAACTAGCTATTAATAATTAAATTGCAATATCTAAAATCATCAATTATTCTCTGATTAATCAATTTTTGTGGATAACGCTAATATCAAGTTTTGGTAAAAAGGTTTTTACCTTGAATTGCCCTCATTATGGTAACCCAGTTCTTGTAGTTTGCTTCTTAATTCAATTAAACGAAACCAAAACACTATAGATTTTATCGCTAATGATTTATTGTGAAACAGCAATAATAGTTTGCTTACCTTTAAACTTCTGTCCGTTTAGAGAGCTATCGTAGTCACTGGGCGTTTCCTTCCGGTTCCAATCGTATTTATTATAATATTTGTCGGGGTTTAGTAAGTGCCTTGTTGATTTCGAGGCGGCTCCGTCGTCTTGTTGTGTAAATTGTATGGGCGAGGAGGGTCTAGGCGGGCCCGCGGTGCCTGGCACCTCCGACAGCTTGCAGGGCCCAAACGCCTGGACCACGATGTCATCTTGCGTGCGGCACGCCTGCAGCTTGAGGTGACACTCCGATTCGTACGTCCTGCCGTCGCTCCCGCATACCTGTTGGTTTTATTAAGAATCGTGACGACGACGACTTAAGTGCCGATTTGCACGGAATTTGTCGTGAAACTTCATACTAACATTACAGGATACGAATTTTTATTACGGTTAATGTTATATGTTTTAAGAAAATTACCCGTCTAAACGATAAACCTATTTTGAACGTACACGGTTCTGCATAGACGACTTAAATCCATTTTCCTTATTTATTAGCTAAATTCTAAGAATTAGACGGCAAAATTACAAGTATAATTTGCTAGTAACTGTTTTACATTATCGACATTACTTCGCCATTACTGGAACACGTTTTACGATAAAGATATAATTAAGTAACAAGCGACATAACTAGATAATGTACCAGTTAGTTAGGTACGTATTTGATATAGACTATAGAAATAATCACACATTTTAGATAAAGAATCAATATTTGAAGTCTTTTAAAATATTTAAAAACATCTAATTATTAGGACTTAAAAAAAATTAAAACCGACTGATCATATACCGCTGCTCAATATTAAGTGCATCGATTTAGAGAGATCTAAATGTGCCCAAAGTTGCAAATTATAAATCTAAATAAATTACCAGCATGTTAGTATCTGTGTCTGGGCAGGGCGCGGCGGCACACTCGCAGCGCGCGCCGCCAGTACGCTCCGTGCACACCGCCCCGAAGTAACATGATAAATCCACACATGACTCTACCACGCCACCTATTTCAGCTAGAGAAACATACAAATTACCCTATCGAGTATTATCAATGATAATGTAGCTAGAAACAACTACTAATATCGTAAGCCTAAATCAATGAAGTTGCTATGCTGTCGCAGGTCGTAGACCATCGTCCACACAAGTATAGTATACCATACTTTTTCTGTGATAGATTTGAGGTAATTAATTGCATTTAAGAATACATTATGGAGGATAGTTGTAATTTATTGTTACAACTTAAAATGCCAAAACATAAAGAATAATGAACATTTACACAAAAACGTGACATGATAATGATAAAAAATCGTCCGATTTACGGTCGCCTTAAATACTATAAGTCCTTAAAATTTGAAGTAGGTATACAAAAACATTATGACTAAAGATTATAAGCAATAAGATATTTACGATCAGAGCATCCGTTGGGTCCAAGACGGCGTCTGTGGTCGGCGCACACTGTGCATTTCTGTCCCTGCACAGCGGGCCGGCACACGCAGCGCCCCGTCATCTGCTCGCAGTCCTCGCGCACAGACCCGAAGGCAGAGCATCCGCATGCTATACGTTAGAAAGTAGTTACTATATAAATCTTAATTTTGATAAGGATGATCTGCGTTCGTTTCTTAGCAAAATTTGAATTTTTGAATCTTCTAAATAGAGACTTGTTTGCGATAAAGTCAAGGTATATGTTGTTTACCTTATGAATAAAATAATGATAATATATTGTAGATGAGAGTATGCGTGATTGAAAGATCTTTTTTGTTGCAGAAAAGCAGAGTGAATCGGCTTTCTTGCTGGTAATCACTGGATAAGTAAAGTCAAGAATACCATCATAGTCGTCATCAGATTTCTATCTGTGATGCCAATTTTCATTATTTCTAAAGAAAATTACGCGCGAGAAAAAACGCGATTTTAATTCTGATGAAAATTCTTGTGAACTTACGTATGCAGCCTGTATGACCGGAACCAATACGCGGTAGGCCCCAGTAGCCGGGTTCGCATCTATCACATTTGAGTCCACCAACGCCGGGCCGACAGACACACTGGCCGTCATCATCACAGCGATCAGATACCGAACCCAATCGGTTGCAGCCGCACGAGCTCGTGATAGGACAACCTTCTTCATTAGGACCAGTCGCTGATGTGGTACCATCGGAACAACAACCGAACTCTGTGTCGGAACAGTGCAGTACCTTCTTCTCTTCAGGTTTTGTGTCATCTAGTATGTAACATTTAAAAAACTTATTAGAGATACCATGTTAATTAATTTTGAGGAATATAAGTTGAGAAAACCCTAACTGAAAATAAAAACTTTGTAAAGTAAGACAAGTATTGCGTTGTTTTGATAAATTCCGCACTGAACAGCATTCTTTGAATATCCACGAATTACCCGAGTAGTAATTGTATTGATGATACCTAAAAACGAACGAGATTATAAAATGGGTTTTACTAACTTTTAGGACAGCATCTTGCAGCTGAAACGGTGATGTGACAATAGCTTCCAGTGGGGCAGTCTTGACGATGAGGTCCGTTTCCACAGTCAATTTCCAGACCAGTTGTGAGGTCAACCATCGCTTTATTGTTGCCGCACGGTCTTACCTCCATACCTAAGATAATAAAAGGAGATAGTGTTTTTATAATATTCAATTATTTATTTTTGATTGCTAGTTTCTTACTTTGTGTTAGTATCTAAAAATGTAGATGCCATGCCCCAAGTAAAGTGTAGTGATAGTGTAACTTATATTATTGACTATTTAAAAATGTTAGTGCATTATTTCCCAAGCACACCCTAAAAACTAACCTTTACACAAGTCCAATGGTCGCAACCTAAGCTCCAGCTGCTTTTGACAGCCCTCCTTCCGCATTGCGCATAAACTAGGGTAAAGTCTAAAGTCAGACGCGCACACTGGAAAGTATTCATCGTCGGGTGGACATTCGAAAAGGCAAGAACAGCGCGGGTAGCCGTCGTCGCCGAGCTCGCAGCTGGCGCCGAAGTCGCAGCGGATGTCTCTGCACACGGATGGGTTGGCGGTGCCCCCCTCCTCCTCTGCCCCCGACCGCTCCGTCGACCCTTCCTCTGCCTCTGTAGTGGTCATCGCGGTCGTCGCTACCCACACCAATTCAAATATTTGCGTGTTAGTCGTGCGATAAAGCGGAAAGTTAGTTAATTGATCGGGCTCGGGTCGCTATATTGGAATTACTGCTAACAACTGAGCCCGTTATCACAGCCCGATAGTTAATATTTTGTTCTAATCCATTTGCAGCACTATTAATATCGATTATAGGTTCCGAACAACATAAATATGTTAGTTGTACAACTTTGTTAATTTAGCATACTGCTGTATAGATTTTACTAAATAAATTTATGCAAGAATAACAATATACGCACTCATTGCTATAGGAGGTACAACAGCAAGTCGGTCCTTGCAATCCCCGTAGAATATGACGTGTAAGGTCGTGGGCGGGTGGAGCCCGCAAGCTGCTTTCTGCAATTCACACTCGTTGGGGTATGTCTGCATGGTGCTGCCGCAGACCGGCTCTCGCGGCGCGTCTGTGCAGTCGGTTGGACACAGGCACTCTCCGGCTACGCAATGTGCTCCAAAAGAACATCGCACTCCGTCACAAAGAGCTGTAAGATACGACTTGATGACCTTTTGCTGAATTAAGAGGACTAAATCTGGTTTTGGATTATATTTTCTTTGAAGTTTAGTGCCTCTTTCTTTAAGTTAAAAACAGAGAAATACGACAAGGTAGAGAAAAAACACAAAGAAAGTTCTTCGACAACTTAGCAAAGCAATATTATACGTAGATATTGCTATCAAGTAATTAACAAGTTGGAACGATTCGTGAAACATTTATCCATTAAAATATTCTGTAAATTGGATGACGGAAACATAAATTAAAATAATTTGCAAACACCTTTTAAAAGTTCGTATCCGTTCTTGTCGCGCACTAGAGATATTACGACGATCTCTTTTCCACGATGAGGGCTAAAAGAAGACATCCGTGAAAATTTAATAACGATTGTTTACCACTTCTCCGCAAAATGAAAGCCTCGTAGAAGCGGTCGATTACCGCCGGACGAGAAACGTGGAATGCTTTTGCCAGAATTAAAATTCATTTTTTGCCGAGACTTACGGAATATGAAATAAGTCGTTAATTAAAAATTTCAAATACGGTCTTTGTTCAAACATTAAAAGATTCATTTGGCGGCGTTAATGTTTTGTATTGTTGCTCGTTTTACTTTTTTTAAATTTTAATCGTGTATTTATAAAAATGTTACATTACCATTCTATAGTCGACTTGTAAAGATAATTGTGTTGTGTAAGTGTAAGTGTTGAAATCCATCAAGGGCAGATAAAATCGGATTAATGTTAACTCAATATGTGATCAGCTCAATAAACGATATAATAAACTTTATAGCGTTCCATTCAAAGCGTTTTCATTTTGCTTTTCCGTGTTTTCGAATCGATGGCGCTTTTATTAAACAGCCGGCTAGTAATTAAAATTTTGGCCATTCGGCACTGGCATAAAGGCTTATTGTTAAGCCAAGCTCTCTCGCTTCATTTTCTTTCTAAATGTTGCCCCGTGAACCTTTTCACCGTCCCTTTTGTGATTTGAAAATATCTCGTTTAACGCATGAATATAATTCAAATAGATTACAATTGGATTCTTAGAAGGTGACTTTTCATTAACAGTAATTTTGTTGTATTCTGATTAATACGCTGACTTTTTATATAATTACATTTTTAACTTAATCATTTTTTTTAATTTGATAAAAAACTTAATTATTTAACGTAAACGTTAATCAAAACTTTTGTTCCAGGTTTGGCTAGGTTCAAGGTTTTCCTTTACTGCTTAGAGCTACCATCAATATTTAAGTAAAGTAAATTTAATTCTAACTGTAACTCTGTTAAACAAAGTAAAACGTACGTGCCTAATCCAATAAATAAACTGAAGGATATTTAGAAAGCGTTCGTTAGCGATAATGTTTGGATTATATAACTTACCGCAATCACCTCTGTACGCCAGCCGCAAGTCGCTCTGCTCGCGACACGCAGTCGAGTCGAGCTCGCATTGGGACATGTACGTTTGTCCGTCCGAACCGCATACTACTTCTGATTCCTGTGATTTTCATACATGTTAGTGTTTTCCAAACTTAATATAGATAAGGGATGTATAAAAAAGGAAGCGCCAATAGTCTAATATAATATTGTTGAAAGAATGGTTAAAAGATATTTTAGAAAATAAGCAAGATTTTTGCTTATTTTCTAAAATTTCTTTTAACTTATATTATAACTAATCTCTTATAAATGTAAATTAAAAATAAATATGAAAAGAAAATGTCAATTTTCTTTACATCTAGGGTAGATGTTTTAATGGTAGGTAACAGACATGCAATCTTCTTAGCTATTACAGATGCAATCTAAAACTAACCTGTGCCTCAGTACAGTTGTGATTGCATCGACATGCAGGTCTACCAGTATCGGTGTCCAACACGCAGTCACCTCCTCCTTGACATAAGATGTCAGCACACGTTTCTGTACAAAGAATTCACATTTTGAAAATTGTCATTACCTATGTAGATTCTTACTAACGAACTCAAATAAAGTTCAAATATCTCTTCATCTTATGATAAATATACCTGTGCATTTATTAAGTCATTACATTCGTTATCATACTAACTGTTCCCGTGCGGCTTCATCCGCATGAAATTATGAAAATTATGAAAAAAAAAGAAAAAGTAAGTAGCCTATGTGTTCTTCCAGACTATCATCTACCACCATGCCAAATTTCAACAAAATCGGTTCAACGGTTTAGGCTACAAACTCTAACAAAGATCCATCCATTCATCCATCTATCTAAACTTTCGCATTTATAATATTAGTTAGAAGTTAGATTGATAGCAAATGCCAAAATGACATGACATGACAAATCTTGGCATTCTTGCTTCCTTGATGTTGGCAGCAACTTATGGTCTCTTTCCCACATTAAGGTTCTTATCCAAAATATTTACCCTCTAAGTTTAATGGCATGAAATATAAAGCCTAAAGCGTGACATAAGTATAGGGCTTTTTGTTAAAAAAATAATTATTCAAAAATATGCTGTAATTGCTGACATCTTAGGCAACAAAGAAGTGCGTGTTTACGCTTTATTATAATAGTATAGATATAGATTAAATGAATGCCATACAATCAGAAACTCTTATATTAACATGTATATTCAAGTCGTTGACCTCACTTAATAACGTATAAAGAGGGCAGCGTGTAAAGTAGATAAATCTGATTAGAGCGGGGTTGCAACGTTAGAGATTCCATGGCTTTTATTGAATAAAAATTAGCAGTTAAAACAGCTGCTTTTTAAGGCAGATCGCTTTCGATTATATATATTTAGAGACATTTGTTTTTAGGTTTTATTCTAATAATGGAGTATAGAATATTCTCCTATATGATAGATACGATAACAAATTTCTTAACAAAAGAAACAACATCACGTTTTGAGCTGAGCATGGCAGCAGGCATGGAGCAGGCAGCACGGAGGGTCGGCATAATTTGTACATCCCTATCAGCTGTCTTATCTAAATTAGTATCGGGTTTTTCTTCTTAATAGTAAATTATGCACTGACTTGGTTTTTCAATTTAAGGCTAAGTGATGACGCTCAATGTATCATAATTCTTTAGTAAAGCGTAGACATGAACAGTATAATGCAAGGACATGAACAGTTAAGATGCCAGGTGTTCGCTAATAAGATTACATACCAAGCGTGAAGGTTACAACTGCTAGGGAGAAATTTTATAGAGTTGTAACGAAGGTGTTACGGCATGCATTTAGTTATTAGAAGCGACTTCAATTAAATTCCTATAGAGTATAGTAATAAATTTAATAATTTGTTATTCTACTTTTTAATTACATCAATTACTTTTATACATTAACTTTAAAATTAAAAATGCAGTGTGTATGAACGAACTTTATGTCGGATTATAATAAAATTAAGCATTCATTTAAAACATTCCATTACGCCATATTTCATAATGGCAGTTATACAAGAAGTTAAGAAAAGTTCATAAAATCTTTTAGTTTGTAATACAAGTTTAACTTTGCAATGCTTCCAGTAAATACCATAGAAATACTTAATCCGAGAGCAACTCCCCTTTGTCCCTTTGACAAGTTACCTACAGTATTGCGTTCGAGTTAAAAGTTTTTAATATATTTCATGATTGTTTTATAAAACTTTTCTTGTAATTTAAACAGGCTAGTTGATTCTCTTTGCGAAAGAGGTTTAGATTTATAGGCTTCTAAAGAATAAGAAGGATACTGGAATGGTTGGAGAATTTTGAGACTATGAACTTATATGTATGCTTTTCCTGAAAACAAACAAAAAACTACTAGTACAAATAGACTAGTAGTTGGCTATAACTCTTAGGGCCTGTCCACCACTGACTTATAGAGGCTCCGATAGCTTAAAAATGACGTCACTGTACACTGTACAGATAAGGTAACAAAATCCGATATTTCCATCACATATTTGACACGTTTGTTTGTTATCAGACAATTTACAATTTGGTGGGACAGGCCCTTACTAATATCAACGTAAAAGTATAAATGATTTTATCGATGGAAGTAAATGTTAGTGGGCATTATAGTATTGTTTTTGTTATAGTTAAAAACCACGTCACTTCATAGGCAACAACCAAAAGAAAAATATATTGAAATTGAGGCTTGCCATGCAAAATTTATACACATGATATTAAAATAAGCTTTCTTTATTACGACGCCGGAATTTCGCAAGCATTTTATTGACAACTTTATAAAAGAAAAAAGATTTTGCTCACGGGAAATTGATTGCGATTTCTCTTGGAAAAGGAATTTTATAATTGATTTTGTATTTCGTTTATATTCCACCACAGCAGGAATTCTATTTCGTTACAAACCTTGAATGTTTCATGAAATAAATCCTGTCAAATTGAAATTATAATACATTTTTTGATTGCTTTTAAACGTTACATTGCAATATAATTTATAAAATCTATCACCAACCAAATGTATACGATAAATTTTTGATTCAAGAACCATTACGACATCAAAATTATATTTACAGTCTATGTCAAAATTGTTAACAGAATTCTATTTCAGTTAATACTATCCATTTGTTTATTAGTCATATAAAATATCTTAACAGACAAATGAAGGTTCTAACCGTAAGAGGATAGGGAGCTCTCAAAACCTTTGCCTTTAATTTAGGTTACCGTATTGTCATTACACCGGGCCGCAACGCCAACGTAGAAACAACTTTAATTATCGGACCTTCGTAACAACACACCAACATTAAATATTTGTATATCAAGACAGGTGACGCAATAAGTACACTGTTTCAAGTTAAGTAAAATTAAAATTAATTTTAGAAGTACATGTATGTATTAGGTCATTTTTATTCCCTGACAGGATTCTGCTAACAAGTTTATAATTTAAAAGGTATGTTCATTTACACAACTAAAATCCTTCTTGCCAAACTCCCTCCCCCAAATAATTAAATTTTCCTGGGCAATCGAACAAAGAACTAGAGCTTATCATTTGTCATCATGATCATATAAGATCATATAACTAATAATAAAATGTCTATAATTTCATCCCAAATTACCATATTTCGGGGCAGATAATCGTAATATTGCAAAATACGAACTACTGAAGGCAAGATTCACGGAAAGCGTAGTATAGGTCGTAGAACAGCTTTGCTCAAAAACCAACGCCACTGGTTTGGAAATAGCAACCGTTCGCTTTTTAGAGCCGTGGTATCGACAATGCAAGTTGTTCTAATAATCGCCGAACTGTGAAAGAAGCACTTTAAGAAGAAGAAGAATCGTAATATACTACATGTTTTACAAATAAAATGACTTACGACAAGTTCCATTGTAGAGCACTGTCAGGTCCTGTTCTTTGATGTTAGCTTGACAAGCGTGCATTCGCATCTTGCACTCGCTACCGTACGTGTTGTGGTCGGATGCGCACACCGGCGCTAATGTCGCGTCGCACACAGGGCAGGAGCACTGAGCGGCACCGCTGCGTGACACGCATGCCCCGCCCCAAGGACAGCTTGCGCGTGCGCAGGGATTCTCTACACCTATACATACGAAAAGATAGTTTCTTAGTTATACGAAAAGATAGTTATTAGTTCTTTTACTATTGAATAAGTTTACTAAATATGTAGGGATTATATCCTGAAGAGACAAAGAAGGGAATGAAACAGTGTTACAATAAATGGGTAAAGAAGTGGAAATTGGAATATCTTAGCCACATATTGCGTGGACCGAAATACGAATTATTACAGAATATTTTCAAGGGAAAAAAATTCTTCATTATCGATAAATAACCTTTGCTTCTACTCACCGCAAGGTCCCATGTAAGCGACTCGTATATCCCTGTTTTCCAAACAAGATGTGCGATCCAATGAGCAAGGGTTGTCGTATGTGCGTCCGTCTGTGCCACACACAGGACGCACGAAGTCCTCACAGGGCGCGCCGCATGCACACACCGCGACGCCGTGCGCGTCTAGCAGGCAACGCTCACGGACACCGCACTTTACACTCTCGCAAGGGTGTTGAGCTATTATAAAGAAATAGAATTTGTTATTTGGGTTCTATCTCTTATTAGACGTTAATATAACATTAGACTATTCTGTAGACAAGTTCAGTTCAAAAGTAAATAGGTATTTTGAACCATAAATGATACATATAGCTTCTTTTACTTTACCTATGACATTCTCTTTTCCGGTAAGATATGTTAGTTACTATCGCTAAAACCAGTAAAACTATCCATGCAATTTTCGTACCGCTGTATTCATGTAGTAAGTTTGTAAATTAGTTGCTAGGCAAACTACTAACAACAACGCACCAATCAAAGCAGCAATATAAGCAAGTTCATGAAAGCATTTACGGAATCAAGTTCTCGATACCACTTCGATACTTAATACTATGTTTACAATTTATTAAATGAAATACGCTCCTACTAAAATAGATTTATATAAAGTTACGGATAAAATATGATAGTACAACCCGCCGGATGATAAGTTAATAACACTACAAAATTGAATTATTTCGCTCCTGTCGCAATTCCTGAGAGGCGACGCTTCGATGCTCGTGTCCAATTACATTATTTTAGAACAAAATATCACTCGGTTCGTACGCCAGTAAACGTGTTTTTGCATTTCCCAATAAAGATTTTATATTGAATTAAGCACTGAAATTGGGACAGCGATCAATTCCCAGTACGTGAGCCTTGATGAGGATAAGTCTTAATTTACTTATCTGTTCAAAATAAATAGCTGTTTTGTTTGAACTTCATTGGATTTTTCTGAACGTTGTTATTTAAATTTTGACTAAAGGTATATTAAATTTACAATGTAAAACATCGTAGCGGGATTTCTTCGTCGCATGGTGGCGTAAAAGAATCCATTTCGTCCCTTGAGCGCCGTAAAAGTCGACTAAAGAAAATGCTGCGCAACGAAAATCCCCCGGATTTTGGCAGATGAGTAAGGATATTAAATATGCGTGACCTAAACTACGCAAGCTGATAGTTTTGAATTCTATTACACTAGAAATTCTACAGTTTTTTTCTTCTGACGGCGATATAAATCAGTTGAAGAGATTAATTTTATAAAAGATCTACTTTTTATCCTCTGGTTCTCAATTTGCAATAGTAGATCAAGAACCTAATTACGAGCGCCTATGACCATTTCCAACTTCATAGAACCAAGAGCATTATTGTAATTTTAAAGGTTCATTATACACTGGTTTACCTGAAGCGCATTCTCCTCTATAAGCTATAGAGAGCTGCTGCCTTGTACGACAGGATTCTCGTCGTAAGGCGCACTCGCTTGGGTAATCCTTGTAGTCGGAGCCGCAGAGCGCAGCGCCTGGCCGCGGAGCCAGCTCGCAGGCGGGCCCGCATCGGCATACAGGCGTGCGGGACTCGTTCAATTGACAGATACCTCCGTCCGCACATTCGTGATCTGCGCACGGGTCTGCATAAAAAAGCATAAATATGTACTATGTGAAAAAAGTACGCTTAATGATAAAAAGTTAAGTGTACTTTTTTCACATAGTTCACAAGATTTAATTCAATACGGACCTGTACCAAAAGAATCGTTATGTCCCAGTTCAAATTCAAAGTTATTACCGTAAAATAAAAAAAAAAACAGATGTTATCCACATTAATTCAAATTAGAAGCCAATCTGCTATCAAGAGTTGAGCATGAAGTCTAAACTAGGCTTAGTGGCACAACTCCGCAATACCGGGGACCAAGAACTTAGCATGCCTTACAATACTGAGTCGTTCACTTAATGCCACTAAAGCAGCCAGCCATTCAGAGCCAACGTCGCACGCACAACAAAGCAGTTTACTACCGTTCTATTTAATTTAATATCACGCTAAATAGATTGTACGATATACTCGTACACAAACGATTCTCTAACGCTCGGAGCATTCGTTAATTAACATTTGCGACACCCCGTAATTTAATTCCATTACTCATTTCAATACAAAATTACTCTTTGCTAAATTATCTCATTTCATCAAATAAAATTAGAGCATGTTAATATTAAGGTCCCTGGATATATCAGTTGCTTACACACACGCGTATATAATATGCTTTATACGACCCAACATTATTTTATTCCCCGCGTATAATGTATAGTCTCACTAACCTAATTTATCGCAACATGTTTTGGGTTGGAAAAAATATTTTTTCCGTGCAGAGTCCGTAGGTACATTACACGGGGAATGTAAGGTCCGAAATGAAAACGATTTAATATAAACACAAATGCAATACTAAAGTAAAGAGGGCATTTCACAAAGGAAGTTGGAATATACGGGCATTCGGTCTTGTACAAATTTAGTTGAGATCGAATGTTCCGGGACAAGTTCTGTGAAAAGGGTACGGACGCTCCGTCCGGAGTGTATAAAACACAGCAGATTAAATTACATTTATAAAAAGGAAACAGGAAAACTGATTTGGTGTTTTAAATAATCCTTTATATCCTTGAATTTCCTCTTGAGGAATTCACTTACAAGTTAACCATTTGCAAACTGATAAAATGAAGTAAAAGTTGAAAAATATATATATAGATATAACTGTTTTTCTTTTGTTTCTGTCGTCATTTTTCGATCCAAGATTACGGTATAAGAGTGTAAAAAACTATAAATATTCATTCATGGTAAGCTAGCCTTGTGTGTAGGTGAATTCACGATGCAAACTACGTAATACATTTCAATATTAGATGCATTTCTTTGAATTCGTACAGGATATCGTTACTTGTTACAGAGTGATGTCAATTAGTGAGGATATAGTGACAAGCTTGGTGCACAAATAAGCAAGCAGCCTCACTGCACTCCTAAAGTGTAACAAGAAGTTCATACGGAGTATAAGCGACTTTAAATTTTAAGTTTCCAGTAAAACGACGATAGAACTTAAAACTTGCAACATAGCTAGAAACTTTTAACTCCTAGAAATGGAAGAAGTATGTAACTGTAATATCATTATAAATACTTGTATATTTAATAAAAATACTAGCTTTCACCCGCGACACCGTCCGCGTGAAATTAAAAAAGGTAGCCTATGTGTTCTTCCAGATTATCCTCTACATTTACACCAAATTTCATCGAAATCTGTTCAGCCATCTAGTCTTTTGCATTTTTAATTTTAGTAAGTATAATTGGAAGTCATCTATGCAATATGGTTTTAATTTAATGTGTTTTAACTTCATCTAGTTATATTTTATACTAATGTTATAAAGAGGAAAGATTGGTATTTTTGTATGTATCGAAATAACGCTAAAACTACTGGGCCGATATTAAAAATTCTTTCATCGTTAGAAAGGTAATTTATCTGTGAGAAACATAGGCTATTATTTTCACTATTAAAAATATACACACAATAAATAATAATAGTAAATGTGTTTATTCATAACTTTTAAAGTTCCAACAATTTGAAAACAGTGATTTAATATTATTTTACATTTTCTATATGCGAATGTGCAGTAAGGTTGATATAGAAAGCTTCACGGTTCCTTGGGTCTAAGTAACTTGGCAATATTTCTGTGCGGCGTCATCTCATACGAACGAAATGAAATGTTGACCCTTTTTGTACTTCGCATCTATTATTAAGGAGCGACCTCTTCTTAACGAGTTCTATTCATGATTCTCAAACTTGGGGTCCAAAGAAACACGGTCAAACGGCCGCTTTAATTAATTCTTGTCATTAAAAGAACGGAGAATAATATTCCGGCAGCTTATTACTTTTGTTTGCAATTTTTTTAATATACGTCTTTCATTATGAATTATCTTGAATAACAAATACTGTAATTTCTTACTTTACATTATTGTTTTTATAACTTTACACTGCGTTAATCAGGCTACACATTTTTTTATCATTAAAATGTTAATAAAATATTTTTTTTGGTTTACACTTACCGCATTTTCCATGATATCGTATTGTAATGTTCAATTGGTTGTCGCACGCGTGCTTGTCGAGATGACAACTGGAAGGGTATTCTCTGCCGTCAGAACCGCAAACAGGCTTACGGCGCTGGCAGCTGCGAGGACATCTGCACTCCGCTTGACCGTATGTCACCACACATCGTGCACCCGACGGACAAGTTACAGTCGAGCAGGGATCCCCGGCTAAAAAAGTCAATTTTTATAAGCACGAATTTACTCATCTCTCTAATGATGACTCGGAATGTTTTCTTGAAGTGTAGGTTTCACAAGTTACATAAGTAATTTAGCAGCATTTGTTCATCGGAACCAGTAAAATTCTGGATAAACAAATTGGGTAATGTCTGCGTTAGAACTACAAAGCGAAAATATCATAAACCAAACTTGCACTTATTTGTGAAAGTTATATTTATACTAACCGCATTCTCCCTCGTGTTTAACGCGTAGATTCAGCCTCCTCTCGCAGGCTTCTTTGCGCAGGAAGCAGTGGTTGCGGTAAGTTCGTCCAGATGTTGAGCAGACGGGCACCTGCGTCGCGGGGCAGGAGACGGGACAAGCGCAATGCGCGCGCCCGTCCCCCAGGGATACACATTCCGCACCCCACCGGCAAAATGTCTTCTCGCAAGCTTCTGTAATACACGGATCTCTTAGGATAAAGAAGAATTTTCACGCTTTGTATTATCCTATTTATTCATTTATACCCGCAGTGAATACTTTTTTGTCATACAGAAGTTATTAAAATTTATAGGATAAAAATAGAAAGTGATAATATAATGCAATAAGAGAAACGGTGATGGCTAAGTTTTAAGAACAACGCCATCTACCGATTCTGTTTATAAAGTTTATTAAATACAAATAATTTGTAGCTATGATATTAGCGGTCGGGTTATACAAATGATTATAAATGTTTGTAACTGAGTCGGGTTATACATGTCGAACCTAACGACGGTCTTTTATTTCGTACACCACAGAAGCGTTCATAATTTAATTGATGTATCTGTCACAACATTGCTTATGTAACTTTTACTATTACCTCCTTTTTTAAGGCAAAATTTATTTATAGCATATTTAAAAATAAGATAACTAATGACAATATGATCATTCCTTGTGTGAGTGCGGTTTGGATGAGGGATCCTTAGAACATATATTTTTTAATTGTCCGAAACTTAAAGTTCACTTACATGATATTCTTCCTACCCAAATTCCTAGACCCATTTATATTCCATTCTTGCTAACCTTAGTTTACAGCCCCTTGGTGAAGGTTTTATTTAAATTTTTAATTACCAATAATATTAAATTGTAATTAAAATATATGAATTTTGTATTTAGTGTGTAGTATAGTAGTAACATTGGTGTTGTCCTATTACAGTGCCTCGATTGATATCATCAGCCACCGGTCATTTGTCAATCACACTGGATTCCGTCTTTCTAGTTAACTGCTACTCAAAATTTTAGTCTCGTTTTATATACTTTCAATTATCTTCAACCTTGACGTTAGCGAAATTATCGAAATAACGATGGGGTCCACTAAACATTAAAAGAAGAAGAAGAAGAACTAATGACAATGTTGAAAGTGAGTATATTAATATTAGCTTTAACCATAAAAGAATAAAGAGTGATAAATAACTTGTAACGTGACTAATAAAAGGTATGTATAATAAAGTATTACAGAGAACATCAAAACCTTTATTTCCGCTGGGGTAAGTTAGAATATAAAATTGCATTCAAGAAACAACATAACATATTAACTACAATATCATCTCAATAGTAATGGTCTACACTAGTGATTGGAAATATTGTAAACAAATTTTCATTTAGTTTGCTTTTACTAAAATCGTGTTCAAAGTAAAAAGAGGTCTAATCAACATGGTTTCGCGCTCTCTTGTAAAAGCTGCGTCGTTGAATGAGCGTCGTTCCTCAACAAACTCCTAAGAATGACACAATTTCCAATTTTCTACCTGGAAAGACGGAATCGTGACTAAATTATTAAGCAGGACTAAAATAAGATGCGAACATCCGCTTTACCGCCGCATTGTGTTGGAGCAGGCTTCGGGGATTACCGATCGCTATCACCTTGTTAAAATTCTAAGCAGAGATTGCGCGAGTCACACGCCCGCGGTTTGCTTAAACTTCATTTATAATTTTGTCCTTCATTCAAAAGAGGTTAATTTCGCCACGCGAATTTGTTGTTAAGCGAGCAAACACTTATCTCGAACTCATAATACAGAAGTGATAGTAGGAATAGATGAAAGTCAAATGTTTTTGTCGATTCAGATTGTGATAAGCTACCGGCGTCAATATTCCCAACCAATTATAACGTGCCTTCCTTCGACCACGTTACCTAGCTATAGGGATAGTGGTCAAGCGATGATTTTAAAAATCATAAAAAAAAATCTTGAAGCTTATATGAATGGCAGTCTATTTTTCCGCGTATAGAGATCGAACCAATTTTTCGGTATATACTCGAATATTTCGAGATGAATATTAACAAGTTTTATTTATAAATTCCGTCGCCCGTATGAAATAGCTTCACAATATTACTTTCATTTCCCACTTCAAAGTGAGTTGAATCTTAGAAACGTGGAATTCTGTTAATATTTATTACAGTTACCTTTCTAGAAAGAAGATCAAACGTCACGATTTTTGCCGCAAACTCATTTCCTTGACTTTTATATAAAGACCCTTGACGAATCCGCTTAAAGGAAAGAAAGCAGTCGGAAATAACAATTTCGTTAGAAACAAAATGTCAGAATGCGAATCGCCGTAGAAGAAGGCCGAGATAAATGTAAGCAGGAGGGGAGATAAAAATGATGGCGGATGCTTCGTGAATGAAACAAAATTAGGATATTTACCGCGCTCCTTTTTTTAGATAGGTACGCGCAAACTGCTTAAATTATCTATAAGCGTCTGTACGTAAATTCCTAGTTATACGGGTAAAAGGTACAAAGGAGGCCTCCCTCGCTATGCCGCGTTTATTAAACTCAATAAAGCTCGCCAAGGATTTTATATAATATTGCCAAAATAAACCTGACAAACGCCAGTGCTGCTTCATAACCATACTCGTAGAAGTCGAGGTAATTCACAAGTCGTATGAATCACGCCGCACACACTCCCCTTTCTATTATTCAACTTCAGATAATGTTAAATTTAAAACGTAATATGCCATACTTTGTGAAATATTTTCTAAAAAGAGAAAAATAGATTGCTAGAACAACTTTCAAAAAACTTTCTATTGACGTTGCTGAAATCAAATCAAACCAAAAGAACTAAAAATGACCTTGGATTAGAATACATCTATATCCCCACTTAGATACATAAGTGGAAGAAATAAATAAAAAAATCCTACAGGCAAAACATTATGCACAGCTCTGATCTTTAGTGATAAGTGTTTCATAATATTGCGAAATTTGTACTAAATGTTATAGTAATTCAAGCGGACGAAGCCGCACGGGTAGAGCTAGTTAAATATACATTTTTCAAACTACTGCTTTAAAACAAACAGTAATAATCCTCAAATCAAAAAAAATAATATTAATTTAAGATACAATTTACTTTAAAACTCTCATAAATCAATAAATTAAAAGAATAATGAGGAATCACTTCAAACATGCACCCTTAGTATTCTGCCCTCAAACAATAAGAGGGTTCAAATGGTACAATGAGTACGCCTTTATGCTGGGTTCACACAAGGCTAGAACTCTAGAGAACTGCTATTGTTTGATCGAACAACACCGTGGTAGCACAGTATGCTTTCAAACGTAAATAGTACTGCAGTGTCCACTGTATATCTCTACATCAACGTTTTGTCCTCGTGTGAAACTAGCTTTATACAAGACGTGCCCTTCGAAAGTCACCGACCAAATCAATTCTCCGACGAACTCGGTATGTCAGCCGCAAAATATAAGAGTGTGGATGAAATTACTCTTGACTTTGAATCAAGCCATTTTGATTACTTCAATTTTGTTTACGCGGTTGGTGAATTTATTAAACTGTGGATCTTGTAATAATATTTTATTCTAATAAATTTACTGACTTACAAATTTTATGTGAAATGTTAAGTGATTTTTATATGTTAAGTCATCTTATTTAGAATGTGATTGATGTAAACGAATTTGAAAATTGCCTATTGTTTATACTCTGTATACAGTATCGATTTATCTATGTTGATTATTATTTTTTTGATTCTCCGTGTCGACTTGTTATTCTTTCTTTTAGTTTTTTTTTTTTATAATATAAGGTTGGAAACGAGCAAGCTGCCACCTGAAACCAGCGCTGCCCATAAACATCCGCAATTGCAGATGCGTTGCCTACCCTTAATTGACGGAGGAAGAGACGCACATAAATAGGACATTTCCCCTTCTCATGCGTCTCCTCCACCGTCAAATCCACTTTTCTTTCCCATTCTTTCCTCTGAAGAAAAGGGTGCAAAGGAGAAGGGACTAAATTTAGGCTTCCGTTTTTGGTGATCGCCATGTAAGTGCCTTTATAGTTTCTATAATATTTCCTTAATAAATTAAGGTAATCATAGCAATAATATAGTGATAATTTTAACCCAAAGCCCAATATGTTAAGCTACTTAGAAAAATACGTAGATAGGTATTTCAACATAAGTAATGACGTCATTTTACTGACAACACTTCTAAGAAATGTAGATTTTTTGTACAAACATACTCTTTTGTCGTTTGTATTATAAAGGGTAAAATATTGCATTCAGTTAATTAATGTTCTAAGAAAATTTACGTAGTAAACATAGATAAATTGTCAGAGACGGCCCTAATTTTAATCCTAATTAATTATACAATGAAATTTACCTTCTGGAGCAGGTGGCCTCGGTTGATAATGTAAATCTGGAACAATAAAGTTTTATAATAATTAGTGGATTATACGTTAATAGTTACTTTTTGCTCAGTAACGAGATTCGGACTAAATAAAATATGAAAGAATCTAATTTTTTTTTTCTAAATTAATTCAACAACAGAGTCGAGGCACTAGTTTTTATGTGAATCAATTTAGTAAACTTTCAAAATACATGGAAATTCATAGATGATGAAATATGAATGAAATTAAAGAACTTTTCTTCTCTATATGATAATGTACTTTGTTTTTATTTGGAGCAGAGACATTAATGGTCTTTGTATTTGAACAAGACAAAATCACATGGATCCAACTGATTCGCCTGTAGGAGAATCTCTGAGAGGTATGAGTTATTGTTATTTTTTTTTAAATTAGCGATAAATTACAGACTTCAAAATCTATGACAACTCAACAATAGAATATTCCTATGTACATTGTGTGTACAAAATGTGATTTTTTTTCGATTTTACAGATGCTTCAATTTTATTAATAAACTAGCTTTCGCCAGCGACTCTGTCCGCGTGAAATTAAAATAATAATAAAAAAGTAAGTAGCCTATGTGTTCTTCCAAAGTAACCTCTACACTCTCACAAACATCCATCCATCCATCCATCTAAACTTTCGGATTTATAATATTACTAAGAAGTAAGATATAAATTTATTGATTGACTAGCTGTTCCCGTGCGGCTTCATCCGCATAAAATTATGAAAATTTTATTTTGTTGTTTACATTTGTCAAATTATCAATTGCAAATGTCAAAATGACATGATATGTCAAACCTTAGCAATCTTTATTTCTTGATGTTGGCAGCAACTTATGGTCTCTTTTCCACATTACGGTTTTTATCCAAAATGTTTACCTTCTAAGTTTAATGGCATGAAAATATACAACCTAAAGCATGACGTAAGTGTAGGGCTTTTTATTTAAAAAAATAATTATTCAAAAATATGCTGTAATAGCTGACATCTTAGGCAACTAAGAAATGTGTGTTTACGCTTTATTATAATAATATAGATTATAATAGTATAGACAAAAGATAGTATTCGTAGATATATTAAAGTAATAGTCACGATATTGAATGGATATTTGAATTGTAAATCCATTCCGATTCGTTATTTTGAGCACAAACCGCTCTAATCTAATTATCGAACTGGGTTAAATCAACTCCGCTATAATTTAACTGAAACAGTCAATTTGTTGAGATAGGAAAAACGATTAATTTGCCAATGGTAACTAATTTTAGTTCTGAATTGTAGTTTTGAACATTCGATTGGAAATTCTAGGAATTTATCCGGTCATATGACTAGAATATAATAATAATCAGTGCTAAGTGAGGTCTTTGTAACTTTGGAATACCGCGCCGAATACTGCATGCATGGTTTTATCTGTTTAAATTTAGATTGATAATTCCATTCATTAAGCGCCAATAGCCTAAGGTTTGGGGTACGGACTACCGATCTTGCGGTCGAGGGTTCGAATCCCGCCATTCTACTATCGTCGTAAACCATATCGTAGAACAAGCTAAAGCTTAGTTGGTGTGGTTAAAGGAAATATTAGTAAATTAACAAAAATCTACTAATATTTTAACATTGAAAAAAAATTGATGAACGTATTTCGGATTGCTAATTACACTCTTTGCTATGTTTATACACTTCTCATAGCTCATAGCTCATTTTAAAGTATAAAACAAAGGAACGCGCTACTATCTAAATCAAAATTCACAGTCCTACATTAGCATAAGTAGATATGTTCATAGAATGAGGTGATCGAAATGAGCAAATACCCTAAATCAGGTCATATCGTTTGAATATTGAACTACATACGAGTAATAAGCTAGGATTTTGAAACATGTATAAATTAATAAGGAAAGTGTTAAAATCAACAAGGAACTTTTTAAGAACTTTCAATTATTTTTTCAAATTAAGCACGCGCACGACTTTGATCAAACTATCGCACAACTGTTTAGTCGCGCTTTGATTCTTACGAGCTTATATGGAGGTGCGCACACTACTCTATTTTTAGTAGCGCTACTAAACAGTTGAATTTACTGCGATACAATCGACAATCCATAATCGCAGTTGTTACATAGTTTAGTAAACGATGTGCGCGCGCTCTTGCTTACTAAAGTTACTGTAAGTACTATGCTATGTAGTATAGTGTAGTATAGTGCTATGTGCATCTATACTAAAATATGTAGATTAAATAAATAATAAATAGAATTTCTATTATATTAAGATTTGAAAATCCTAACTCATTTTGCAGTTCAACATTTAGATATATATACATATTAGCAGTTCCCGTGCGGATTCATCCGCATAAAATTTGATGAACTTCATTTTATTTATTACATTTCTCAAATTCTCCATTGCAAATGTCAAAATATAAATTACCGTACCATGGCAATCATGCTTCTTTAATGTTGGCAGTTTGTACTGTATGGTCTCTTTTCCACATCAAGGTTTTTACCAATTTATTTACCACTTATGTTTAATAACGTGAAAATATATAGCCTAAACCGTGACGAAAGTGGAGGGCTTTTTATTAAAGTAAGAATTATTCAAAAATATGCAGTAATAGCCGACATCTTAGGCAACAAAAAAGTGTGTGTTTACGCTTTATTATAATAGTATAGATAGATTTTAAAATCCTGCTCTAAGATGTGCAATAAATTTGAATTCTATTTAAAATTCTGCGAACCGATTTCAAATAGTATTAAATATGAATTGGAAAATCAGTCGTCTCGATAATATAATTATAGACACCAGACGCGGTCCGTACGTTTATATCCGAGTGAACGGCTAATTGTCTAATCGATTGTAGAACCATGGGATTATTTATTAGAAAAGGTTTAGCGTAGATAAAACTGAAAGATAAAAATATTCCGACTTTCCTAGACGTGCAGATTCTAAGAAGAGACAATCTCTCTTCAATATTTATAATAGACATTGAGTCAGCTTAAGTTCTCAATTTTTTACTGAGAATAACATTTCTAGTGATAATTTTGCTGAACATCCGTTCAAGTCACTAGTTCTAGGTGAAACAAAAAAATATGGCGACCCATTTATCATACGTTAATAATAATATTATATTATAAATGCGAAAGTTTAGATGGATGGATGTTTGTTAGAGTTTGTAGCCTAAACTGCTGAACGGATTTCGATGAAATTTAGTATAGATATAGAGGATAGTCTGGACGAACATATAGGCTATTCATTTTTGCTTTTTTTAATCAACGCAGACGGAGTCGCGGGCAAAAGCTAATGATTTCATAACTTCGCTTTGGTGATAATAACAACAAAATGAAACGAGAATAATTTTTAATATTTATTTAATTACAATGTAAACATAACAAAAGCTTTAAGTGCTTGCGTATGCAGAATAATATATTAAGTAAATATCAGTTAACATGCAACTCAAATAGTAAACTAAATATATTCTTTATGCAACTAACTAAACGAACTCGAATGTGGAAACTTTAACTTTGCAATGTTTTTGTTACCGTCAGTTGAATTTCAAGTAAATAGTTCTTTGTTCTGCATACAAACAAAGTCTTAATACAGTCAGATTAATTTATACAATTTTTAACCAGACTTACATCTTTGCGATAATTTTGCGTGTATTCAAACATATAAAAGACTAGCTTTCGCCCGCGACTCCGTATGCATAGTTTACGAAAAAACAAAAATACGCCAAATTTCATCGAGATCCGATCAGCAGTTTAGGCTATAAACCCTAACAAACATTCATCCATCCATCTAAACTTTCGCATTTATAATATTAGTAAGATAGTAAGAAGTAAGATTAAAATCACTTATTTACCAAATACCAAAAAATGAACTATACAATCAATCGAACACGCGATAAAAAGAGCAAGCCGCTAATATTTAAAGGAAATCTCAACTCAAAAGGATATACGAGTATGTATATGTGGTGACGGAAATTAATTTCGCTTAGATAGGGAAACATTTGGGAATGTAACTGAGGTTACTGCTAATGGTCCCGCGGTCCCGTATAAAATACAAGAGGTTCAGTTGTACCGCGGTACAGTACCGGTACGCAGTATTGTTTTATTGCAAATTGGTTGGACGTAGGCCGCGCCTGTCCTTTACATATACGATCCTATTAAACAACGGCCGGGTGACCAGTCACGTGTTAAACGAATCCGTTCGCTGTATGTATGTTAGAACACGGAATGTTACTAAACTCGAAACTAAATTGAGTGTTTCTCAAAAACGTACGTAGTTATTGGTGCTACGTGCCATGTCTACATTGCTACGAACTGTACCAGCTATTCTGTTTGTAGTTTGCTACGTATAACTTGTGCAACTTATGTTATTGTCTTGCTATTGTTGTATGAAATTTTTATCTTTCAAGCTATCCTTTGTCGTCTGGATCGTGTAATTTTGTATTTGTAATCATTTTAGGATTACAGTATTTGAATCAGTTAATTTACAAAGTAAATCTTAGAGAATATTACATACCTACTCTCTATTAAAAAATTGTATCATAATTAATGTTCAGGGAGAGGAAGACTGAAGAAAATGTGGATGGGGAGAGAGGATATGCTTAGAAGCAGAGTGCGAATTCTGAAATGACGGCTGATAGAGAGGTATTTTTATAAACTTTATATTTAAATTAATAAAACTGATTTATGCAGTCTTTAACACGAGAAACAGGTAGCTTAACACTGTACAAGAAATAACGGCATTAGAATTTTATCTCGAAGAAAAATTGTAAGACTGGACCGGTCACTCTTGGATCGATTTCAAACGGTACATTAAAATTCTACGAACTTTAAGCGTCTAGAACATCGTATGTAGCGCTCCAAAAAAGTAGCTCACATTTTTATTAAGGTAGGAGTTTTAAGGCCTTTAAAATATCTTAATATCAAAATAAAATAGTTTGTTATTTTGATACAACACGAAATTAAATAGATATCATGTCCAATATCAGGGGAGCGTTTCAATCGAGAATTTCGAGATTAAGTCCGGT